AAAAAAAATCTAAATAATGATATTCAATTTATATTTCTAGACGACAACTCTCGTTAGTCTTCTGTGACCTAGTTCTCTTGCTATTTGTTTAAAGGCACTAATGAGAATTTGAAATGAGACAGAGGGTTTTATCCATAATAAACTAACCTATTTTCAGAGCATATCTGTAAAAAGCAAACTGTCCTTATTGTAGACTAAAAAAAATATAGAATGAACTATAAATTGCTCAGTTTGTCTCCTCAAGCCAAATGTATTTTCTGTCACCTTCAGTGTTTTGACTTTTTAATGAAAAAAATAAAACAGAGAGAATAATATGGTAAAAAGATCAAAGCTCAGAACCCTAATACAGTTAACAGGCTTCATTTTTGGAATTGTATTCATTACTGGTATCAGAGTAACAAATCTATTGAAGTCAATGGAGATGGCCTATGGGAATTAAAATAAAATTTACTCTTTAAGACTTTCATAAAAGAACAATAATGAAAAATATGGGAAACTTCTTACAGTTCACATTAATAGACTTCTTTTTTTTAATTTCTATTTTAATCAAATAGACCTGTAAGAATAATAAAGTTGTCACTGGAAAAAGAAAAACTTCATAGAGCTCAATATTGTGGATATTATGGCTTTGGGTAATAGATTTGGATACAGAGAGAAATGTAATGTTCACTCTATAAAAAGTATTTTATCAGACAGATTCTGGGGAAATGGATGAAGCCTAACTACTACATGTTTCCTGTCAGGTAACAAAAATGCTTCAGTGATATTTGGGGTTTTTATATTCTCACCACAAAATTCCCTGAATTAATATGGTTTTGATGTGTGCATTTCTACTTTTCACCTAAGTTCTAATTCTGTTCTTTATACCTCATGAACTGGGAAAAAAATCTAGGTTATGGTTTTTATTTCCTGAAGTCTCATCAGATTTGAGAAATATTTGTAGCCAAGTCATTCTAGATGCATGTTTAATTTGGTATATTTCTTTTACTTTCCTCTGTTAAGACCAGAACACAGATGCAACATGGCAAAACAACCCTCAGTAATTCTCAGAAATCAGAGAATGCAGTGGGTTGGAAGGGACCTTTAATGGCCATCTTGCCCAACTCCCTGCAATGAGAATGAACATCTTCATCAAGACTGGCTTGCTCAGAGCCCAGTCCAATCTGACTTGAATGTGCCCAGGGATGAGGCATCCAAAACCTCTCTAGACAACCAATGCCAGTGTTTTACCACCCCCATCATAAAAAATTCCTTCTTCATGTCCAATTTAAATTTACCCTGTTTTAATTTGAAACCTTTACTCCCTGTCCTGTTACAACAGGCCCTGCTAAAAAGTCTGCCCCACCTTTCTTACAGGCCCCTAAAGTACCAAAAGGTCACAATAAGGTCTCCATGAAACATCTTTCTCCAGTCTGAACATCTCCAGTCTGAACCCCAGTTCTCTCAGTTTGTCTTCACAAGAGAGGCATTCCAAGCCTCTGATCATTTTTGAGTCCCATCTCTGGATGTGCTCCTGCAAATTCCTATATTTATGCTAAGGACCCCAGAGCTGGACACAGTACTCCAGCTGGTATCTCACCAGAGCGGAGGGGCAGAATCACCTCAAATTCACTTCCAGATAGAAATGTTTACTTCTTCGATGTGTCTTTGCTACCTTTGCTGTCATGATGGACCCTTTCTGTACATTTGGTGTTAATGCATCTGAGCCTGTTTTGCCAGCTCCTGAGAAAAATGTGTCGGTGTTAGAAACAACAGCTGAATATTGGCCTGTTATGTAAGAAGAAATCCAGACTCAGAGATGTTTTAATTTTCTGAATGGTAAACAAGCTTAATGAGATAGGTGAAATAATTTTTTAAATACATTTTTAACTGTTACATTTCTGTTAAATTAAGGACAGTAATAAATCTGTGCAGGATGGTCTACCTGCTTGGAGAAAACAAGAAAATTTAAAGGTTATTTACTTGATTTTCCACAATGAAAAGTTCTCTATTTGCATTAGCTACTTCCAAAAAAGTGTAGAGGAGAAATCAGTTGTTTTTTAATGAGGCATAGTAAAAAGACAAAAGGGAAGGGTATGGAGGACAAAGTCTCTGAACTTATAAATGTGTTCTCTTTCGCTGGGCTGGAACACCAGAGGTCTTGAACCTGGGCATCTAATTTTTTAACAGTTAGACAGTTTTATAAATCTTCCCTGATTTACAAGTTGTTTGTTGGTTTTGTTTTTCTAGTTTAACTTTATTAGCTGCCAGAATTTAATTTACAGCTAGGAATAAGGGATTCCAAAAGAGTAGATCTCTGTACTTTAAATCTTAGTTTAGCTTGTAATTATTAATATAGCAAAGAGCAATCTAGTAGTATATGAACAATTGATTATATGGATGTTTTTATGTATTTTCTTCATTTTGGTTTTCAAGGGTCTTTTTTTAATCTGAAACACCCACAGTGTAACATATAATATGTTCTTCAGAGAAAATGGGTTTCAGTCAATATATTATTTGATTTTCTTTGAATAGAGGAATATTTTTACTAATAACAGATTGTAGAAGTAAACATTTTGTCATTGTCAATTATATTTGATCAACAATGTGAGTTTTATGTGGATAAAACAGATTAAAGGAAAAATTATAGCTGATGGTAGTCTACTATTCAGTAAAAATAACTTCATGGATAAATTAATATTATCGTCCCTTACATGATATACAAGGTAATATGGTCTTCAAATCCAAAGGTTTATATTCCTATTTTAAAGTTACAAGTGAAAAACAAAATTGATATTTTATTTTAAAGTTTGTCAGGTTTTTTTTCTGAGGATGGTATTGTAATAAACTAGAAATTGCATTTTTTTCTCTATGGAATCTCCAGAGAAATATGGTTCATCTGGTCCTATTGCAGTTAGCATATGGTGATAATTCTTACCCAAAAGGTGATATCAGAAGTTGTTCCTCAGTTAGAGAATCTGAGGAAACAAAGTATTGTGAATGCTTTCAGTGCAGTCTTCTGCTTGAAAGCAGTTCTTACCTTATTTTATAATGAGAACAGATTTTTTTTATTCTCTAATGTGTGCAAATAAAGTTCTTCTGCATCACAATTGGTCAGATCAGGCAGGAGTTAATCACCTCAGATCAGGAATGATGATACATTTAACCACATATTCCGTTCAGTCCATGGATTTAGCTTTGAGATAATAAACTGCAGTCAAAGTGGTTCTGTTTACTGGAATTATTTTTTTCAGAATGCATACTAAGAAAAGATTTTGCCTTTAATTTACCTTTGAGTCAATAAATTATTCATAAATCATTGGTAAACTAAAGTTAGATGATTTTACGTAATTTTCTTCTTTGGCAAAATTACCCTTGTTACCCTTGCTGTACAAACTTGGTAAAATAATGTAGAGGGTTTGTCACTGTCCTGATCTCTACAATAGAGGAAATTCTGTGTATCAATAAATTTCAAACCCTCAAGTCTCCCTAAAATTGGAATTATTGTGGTAATGCTTTCAAACTTCTCTTTTAATGAACTGAGTGCTTCTGCAAGCTCTTTACTTCATATCAAATAGCTTCTAGTGATGATCTGCACCACTGACAAATGAAATGTAATACTTGGCTATAAATGAGCAGAAAATACAGTAGCTACAGACTGGGAGTTATTTTGATGACAGTTCTCAAGAAAACAACAGAAGTAATTACAGCAGATTGATCTGAAGCAAAATATATTCCATGCATTCATTTTTGTTAATACTCAAAATTTAAATAGTTTTAGATATTTGGGTGGATACTGTCTCTAAATATATTCATTTTGGGGGGAGGAAGATATTAGAATAATAGAATATATAGAGTTTGTACAGTTAAAAAAGGCACTTTTTTTTTTAATTTGGCATTGTGATTCTCAATGAGGAATCCCTAAGAACTAATCGCTAAACCTGCAGTAAATGATCCAAACCTTAAATACCTTCTGCTCTGTATCTGGACTCTCTGCAAATGAGCTTCTAGGCACACCCTCTCAGAGGGCCATCCTGGTGCCTCCTCTGAAACTAAGAGGTTTTTCATTCTAAATATTCAGACATAATTGATCCTTCAGTATTGATATTCTCAGACATCCTCTGAGAAAATTATGCTCGCAATATTATGGTGATTTGTTAGATCCCAAAAATCATTGATCATATTTTATATTCTGTAAAGCCAGATATACAAAATATTTGCAGGTGCATTCTCTTTTCTTCTAGACAAAGAAAACATAACAGGAATATCCAAAAAGATTGCCAGAATGCTCAATCCTTCATCTTTCTTTTTTCTCTGTAGTAGTGTTGTCTTGTCTTTCACTCACATCAGTAGTTTGTTGGAGACAGAGATCTCTTTAATAAAGTTGACATTCCTCCTGTCAGGTTTCTGTGCTGTAGCTCTTGGTCACAGGGACACTTACCATGCAATTCCCAATTTCAATCACATAAAGTCCCCCAGACCAGGAAAATCTGCTCTTGAAGCTGGAGCCTGCTACTAGTGATGAGACACCTCCCCTTCAAAGGAGGATTAGGAGATTAATGACTCTCCATTGCTAATTCTCTGCTGGTTGGCTTGGATTCTCTCTTAGCATCTTTATGGGTATTCAATCCAATATGCAGGCTAAATGACCAAAAGGAAATGTGATTGCAGAGGGGTTTTAGAATTCAGGCATATGTTAATCTGTCGTTATAATAAAGTTAAAGAAGAAAATAACAAAACCCTGGCAGCAAGAAGAATAGCTGTAGATAAATAGGGACATTTTCTGATGTCCTACTATTAACCTCTGCTAATGAAACTATAGACACAGATATACTTTTGCAGCTTTCTCCTGAGCATTCACAGTGCTGATGCTTGTAACACAGTTTAAATGATAGTGTAAAACCTGTGGTAGTTTAGAAAATTATATGTTCATGACAACATAGATTCAATTTACAGTTTTGAGATTATTTATCAAGTATGCTTATGTGTGACCTTCCATTTATGTTTGCTTTGGCTTTTAGCTCCAGACCAGTCTGTCTGAACCAATGACTTTATCCAAGTCGATCTCACTTCCTCGTAGTGCGTATTGGCATCACATCACCCGGCAGAACAGCGTTGGAGAAATCTACAGTTTACAAGGCAAGTTGCTTATCATTCCATATCCATTAGCTTCTTTCCATTTCACCAGAATTCATGCAAATTGCTTTTTATTTGCACTGGTTATTTTCTCTCCATTTCATTTTATCAATTGTCAGGAACCTCAGCAGGGTTCCCAAATTTACATAAAACAGGTTTCTTTTAGTCATTTTGTAAACAAATGGTGAAAATTATTTCTAGAATCACCACATAAAGCTGGATAGACAATTTGGCTCAATGTAGCTTCTCAGTAGCTAATGAATGTCAGGTTGTTTTAGTATTTTCTACCAATGAGATGGGGCAAGTATTTGGGCAACCTCAGGGTGCCTAATTAAATCTACATAAAGTGGCTATATGAGTTGCAAGATTAAAACAGAGTAATTCTAGGAAGAGGAGCTATTCTTGGTAAATTTGCTTGGCAAATCATATATGTGAACTGTTGACTCAACTAACTCACAGACCTTCAACAAATCATCTTCTGTCTATGGTTTTCTTTCATATGTTTGGATTTGCTAAAGCTTTTAAATGCTATAATTAGCACAACTTGATGATGATGATTCACTGCTCTTAAGCTGACATTGATTTGTATCTTTTAGGAAAATGAAATTATTGTTACATTTAAAATGTAGACCTTTAAAAAATAGCCTTTTGTAAACATATTGCTTTGTATTATTTCTGAAGGCCTTAAGGATTTTGTTTTAGTTCTCTCTTAATAATCTGTTTGCATAAACAATTTACATTTAGATAGGAGATTAGAAACTGCTTACAAACAAGAGTACCCAATGCAAGGAGACAGTACATATTTTCATTGAAATAATTGAAATCCAGTATATAGATGAAGGACATTAAATGTTTTGTTTTGTGAATTATCACGTAAATTAAAATCAGCAGGTGAACTGAGCATTCAGTGGGTGAGTCATTAAAGGGTAGAGGCATTTGTTTCCCATTATTCTCCATAGAGCAAAATTAATTTTTAATCATGGTTATAGTCTTATATTTAAATACCAGTAATGGAAAAAAGAAAATAATCTTTCAGAAGCTGTTTGTAAAAAAAAGTTATACTTGTACATCACCCTGCATACAGTCATCATATCACTGATATTTTTTCATGGACACAATAAGAATGTTAAAAAGAAGTTTATTTGTAGAGATGTTAGATTTCTTCTTCTTGTGTTCTTGATGTGTCTTTTCTTCATCAGCAAGATAGTAAATGTGTTATATTCACTCTCAACAATCTTTTCTTCTATATAAATGGCCTTCAAAATAAAGCAAAGCAAAACTTTATATATAAAGTAAAAAATACAATATCTATACCATCAAGCTGTGCAGGATTCAACATATTGGAAGTGTACTAAAAATGTAATTTTTCTTTCTGGAAATATGCAGATTTTATTCACATTTCTACTGAAACATGAGGCTAATAAATATTTCAGAACTTAATATTTTCATTTTTCCTGCATGTACTATGATGACTAAAGCCTGAGAATATGTAGTTGATTTCAGGAGAGACTGATTCAGTCTTGCCAGTGGGCAGGGAAGTGCATCCAGAAGACTGGTTGCAAAACTTTTCCATGCAAGACTACCATTCACTATCTCTAAAGAAAATCTCTTTGGACCTTCTGCTGCAATTACTAATTAAAAACAATGAATTTGTGCAGAAAGTGAAGCGGGTGCAAAGTACACCTTTTCTTCCTCATACCTTGTCATAGCGACAGCCTTGGCACTGCAGGGCTGTCAAAGCATCAGCCCACGGAAGCTCCATAGATGTGGGTGGAAGGTGGGTAGCAAGGAAGCAGATTGCAAGCATCACTTCAGCCCTCACCTTAGCAGAGCAGCCAGCTGAGAGGAGCTGCTGCAGAGGGAAGAATCACTTTCTGTTGCCATGATTTCCTCTGAGCTTCAAAAGGTGCACTGCACCTTTGGGGAGGAGATGTTTTCTTTAGAGAACGGGACATTGAACTTCGCTCTGCACTTCATGGGCATTTACAACAAAGCTTTGAACGTTCAAGAAACAAATTTGAAAGTTCCCCACATACTTCTAAATATCTCACAGACTCTAAAGTGAAATAAACAGAGTGGTGTCTACCTATATCCAGGTGACTGTCAATATTAGTAGTAGTAGCCAGGCTCACTGCTAAATGCAAGTGTTTCAACGGGCAATTATTTCAAACTTGCAGTCTGAAGTGACTAGAATTTAATTAATAACATCTGGTGATGTATAAGGAGAAATGAATATGTGCTCATACTACCTTAGATAAATTAGCTCTTTGGGAGTTATTTAGCAGTCACATTTAACTTAATTAGTAGTGTGTGTTGATCTGATAATGAATATTCTATGGAGTAAGAAGGTAGTGGGTTTTGTGATTTTTGGTTTTTAAAAACTACATTTCAGATGAAAAAAAGCCCTTCAATAAATGAGTGTTTGGTCTATTATGCTCCATTAGCCCATGAAAATAGTTACATGTAAAGAACTGTAGAGATTAATACATAGAATAATAGAGCTAAAGTAACACAAGTTGCACAAAATACTATAAAAAGGTTAGTTTCTGTTGATAATCCAAGTTTGCCTTTAATTACAGTTCAAAAATTAAATAGTGTCCTTTTAATATTTATTATTAAAGAGTAATTTAAATAACAGAGGAAAAAGACCTCTACACCATTTTTGTGCATACATGAGTATGACATACATGAATTGTATGTTTTCATAAATAATTGACAGCTCCAAAAAAAATTTGAGTCCAACAGAAGATAAACATTCATTGATATGTTATGCTATCATACATCAAGATCTAAAATTTGATAAAAATGAGAAGCCAAGAGTAACCTTATTAACCAAAATAATGATTAACAAGGAAAAACTCTAAGAGCCATATAAGCATGTAAAAAATACCCTATATATTTCCTTGAAATTTAGTGTTTATTGTTTATAGCTACCATAAAATTTAGCACTGTTACACAGGATATTAAAAATTGAAAAACAAAACATATGAGTTTTTATACAACAAAAGATATAAAGGAGAATTCATATTTTTGGGGGTGGTTTTTTTGTTTTTGTTTTGGGTTTTATTATATTTTTCATTTAGGGCTTTAAATTTGCTTAAAATGAAAAAAAAAGATTGCAGACTGAATTTTCAGCTATCTGAAGAACTCTAGTTCTTACCCTTTATAGTTTGGATGATACGAATGTTAAACACAGTCGGTTTGTGTATTATTGTATAAATAGGGCCAAATAGAATTTTGGTATTGAAACATTAATTAGCTTTTTGTATTGCAGTTGCTGAAATCCCTGAGGAAATTATGTTCAGAAAATCTAATTACAGCCTGGCCTTTCTCCAAGAAATTCAAAATTAAGAAATGCTTTCAGTCACTCCTGTTATGTTTTATCTTGTTTGTCCTCATTTTTTGGACTTGGGTTTTGCTATCCATACTCAAAATAATGGACACCTACCCACAAAGGCAATGCTACTCATTCAGTGAGAATACTTATGTGAAAGAGCATATATTTGTATAAGAATTACACCAGTAACATCTTACATGTTTCTTCCAAAAAGAGAACACTAAAGAGTTGGGGGTTTTCTTCCACAGTATTGCTTATCACAATTTGCTTATAATTAATTTTATTTGCTCTATCACAAATTATTGCCACAGTTTGTTGTAAACCCATAGCAAAGTAATTAAATTACATGGAAAAATACTAAGAAGCCCTCTAAGAGTCATATTTTTAAACACAAAGAGGAATTTTGAGAAATAAAACTATCGTCTTTGAACAAATAGAAAATGCCCCAATGAAGTCTGAAGGAATTTTGCTGATAATGTACAATTACCTTTTGTATGTTACAATAAAGATGCAAGAAACATAAGGTCGGTTTTGGAAACCAAAATGGCCTTGGTGAGCCTGCAATGCACATTGTCTTTTGGCCTTGTTAGGTGAGAACTCACCTTTTCTTTTCTTTTTTTTTTTTTTTTTTGCATAAATATTTTAAGCAGGATAACATGTGGTCTTAATCTGGTCAGCAAAAAGGTCTTGTGCATAAAAGGGAGACAAAGTAACGTACCAAAAAAACTGTCTACACAGTTTTCCAACCTTTTCAACGTAGAAACTCTGATATGTCACTAAAAATTATCATAGAACATTCAAGTTGCTAAATATTTAGAAGGGTTTGAATCATCCTATTCAACCTTCCTTAAGCTAATCCTGCAGGAAATTCTGATGTAGGCTTCTGCAGCTTTCTGCAAATTAAAGTATGTAAAATGAATGGGAGAGCATTCGTCATTTTGGCATTTCCATTGTTTGTTCATATGCCCAGCAATAGAGTACAGAATCCATTTCCTCATCTAATCTTGGTGCCTGAACAATGTGAATAACATAAAAATGTTAGAATATATCTGTTATATAAACCTGATCACTCAGTAATTTTTCAGTAAGTGTCTACCAGCGGCTAAAGCTGAAATGCTTTATAGCTTTCCACATTCCCATTTCCTTTGTTGAATCGCATCAGGACCTTCACATTAGTAAATGAAGCCTATAAAATTTGAGATATGAATAAAGGACACCTGGAACAAGATACTTATTGAGTAGAAACTGCATAAGAGCTACATTATTTAAAATGACTGTATTACGTGTCTTCTCAAGTCTTATGCAGTAGATTTGATCTTTTCCTTTTGAGCTTTGAATTTCTCTACTAAGTAGTGCATCACTAGACTGATTTTAAAGTGGCACATTGGAAGTGGGATATATCTTACTCAGAAACCAGTAAAGAACTTCATTTTGCTCAACAGTGATTGCTGCCTCTAACCAAGAGCGTTACTGACAAGCTCTAAAGAGTATCTTGACACATTTCCATTCATTCTGATAAATCATTGCTGAGTTAAGAGGTTGTTTCAATTATGAGCATGAAAAATAGAGGAAGGTGGGAAGCCAAATGCAATTAATAAAGCATATTTCGCTGTCATATTCAGACCTCGTGGTTTCATTTAAGCCCAATACTTTGGTGCCCTTTCTC